TGGTGTGTGCCCCCACGCCTGGCCATCTATCCAGTTTCTAAAGTGGAAGTCAGCAGAAGTATTCAGGAAAAGAGCAGAAGCAAGCGGGTACACATTTGTGTCTGTTGAATAGCACGGGGCGTTTGACAAGCCTTTTTGTGGATTTCCTTCAAGGGTTTATCCTTTGCAGGACTAAACACATGGACCCTTTGGTTTTCCCAGGAGCCCACAGGCTTTTAGGTCAGCATGCTGGGGCTGGTGACGTTATTATGTAATTAGAGTAATATATAATTTATCCTTTTTTAAACATTAAAAAGTACCCCTCTAGTCCCTTTGTAGCAGATGTCATGTTACACTCATGCCATGTTTGGATGCTTTTAGACGAACAGAGGACTCCAGAATCATTTTATCCAGAATGGGCGTTTTTACTTCCAGTGTTTGCCAGAGTGGCCACTTATGCAGTTCCCTGAGAGGGTAGATGTGAGCCTCTGTAAGAGGAGCTTGTAGCAGTTCTTCTGAATCTGCTGTCCCCTTGGCTGTATGTTGTGCATCCTACTCTCAGAAATGAGGATGAGGATGGGGACACAATCAGCCGACACCCACGGAGGTGGAGTGGGCAGGGCACTGGCTGGAGCAGGAAGCTGCAGGGACTCTCAGTCTCTTCCTCAGCAGAGGAATCGAGCTCGCTCCATCTCTGTGAAAGTATCCTTCCTCTTTTTCTTTTGAAATACTTAAGAGATTTATTTGAGGAGATGCTTTTAAAAACTCCTCTACCCTGGGGCTCCTCACTGGTTTGTGAGTGTGGGACAGTGCACACCTGTACACAGTTACAGTGGCTGCATCCGCGCTGTCACTGTGGACCTGAGTGGTGGCCGGAGACCACATTGACCCCTTCAGGAAAAGTGCTCTATTCTAACCTAGTTCTTTGTTACCTTTTCCCTTTGCTTTCTGCTTTCTTCAGTAGATCACCTGCCCTCAATCCGCTAGTTTGGTTTGAATTTCAGCCTCACATCCTTTCCTGTAGGCTGTAAGCTGGGGGATGGAGCCCTGTCTCCGTGCTAAGGCAGTGGCAGCCTTGGCCCTGGTGGTGGTGACAACCAAGTCATGCCTTTATCCCTTCCCTCCACCATCAGCTGGTGGGGGGCACAGGTACCATCATGGCTGCTGTGCTGTTTCTACTTCAGCAGCATATTCTTAATAAAAGTCACGGGAGATTTTAAGAAGCCAGTGATCATGCAGAATTTAGAAGTAGTATGTTTTCCCCAGAAGAGTCAACTCTTTAAGCTGGACATAGTAGTATATGCCCATAATCCCAGCACTCTGGGAGGGTGAGGCAGGAGGATTCCATGTTTGATCCCAGCCTGTACAGTTTAAAGACTTAAGCAAGATCCTATCTTAAAATAAAAAATAAAAAAGGGCTGGGGAAGTAGCTCGGTGCGAAGGCCTTGGGTTCCAGTATCACCACAACAAAACAAAACTCTTCAACATGCAGTAATAAATGAGTATTACTGTGAAACCCATTGCCTTCTACCAGAACAGCACATCCAGTTAAACTGACCAAACAAAATATAAGAAAAACCATAGAACTATTAAAAGATACAGTTCCTCAAGTTGGTCTTTTCTTGGCTTTGCAAAGTAGCAGGCTATACAACTACATGTCAACAAAATGTAGGGATACTAAAGGAAATTTTGTTCTTAAGTGTTTTTATTGTATGTGAATTTTACCTTTTTGTGGTAAAACATGCTTTATTTTTTTCCTATTTTAATTTTCTTGCCACATGTTTGTACTGCATTATGATTACATTCATCGTGGGAAATTGGCACATACACACAAGTCTTCTCATTTCCTTTTTGTATTTAACCCCCTTGCCTCTCTCCCCATCCCTGCACCTCTTGGTCCCCTTCTGGATAGACAGACAGACAGATAGATAGATAGATAGATAGATAGATAGATAGATCACACACATATCTGGGGGTTTTTTTGTACTGGGGATCAAACTCAGGACCTTGTGCTTGTAAAGCAGGCGCCGGATCCACTGAGCTAAATCCCTGCCCCATATATGTTTTGAATATATGTTTGTAGTACATGATGATCACACTCCTTGTAGGGACTTGGTGCATGACAGCACCTCAGTCCTTCCCTTTTTATATTAATCTCCTCTCCCTTCCCCCTCTGTCCATCTTTCAGTTCCCTTCCCTTATGCCAAAGATCAATCTTGCTATTTCCTACTCTCTGTTCTTTATTTTGCACTTTATTTATATAATAGGGTTTCTCATATAAGATAAGCCATGTGATATTTAAGCTTGTGTGTCTGATTTGTTACACTTAACATTACGGTCTCAAGGTACATCCATTTTACTACAAATGGCTGAAGTTTATCCTTCTTTATGGCAGAGTAATACTCCATTGTGTATAAATACAGCATTTTCTCCGGAGCACAGAGGGGCCCTACACTGAACAGACCGAACGCCTGGCCACCATTGCCGCCAGCCCGGCTCCTCTGACTGCCACCGCAGCTGCCTAGCCAGTCCCTCCCCCACCGGGCGAGCTAATGCAACATTTTCTTTATCCATTCATCTGTTGATGGGCATTTAGGCTGTTCCCAAGATCTAACTATTATGAATTGTGCTGCTATAAACATGGGTGTACATGTATCGCTCTTAGTCTTCAACTCTTTCAGGAAGATACCTAGTAGGAGAATAGCTGGATCAAATGGGATTTCTACTGATTTCCATAGTGATAGTGGTTGTACCAGTTTACACTCCCACCAACAATGAAAAAGGGTCCCCCCCCCCACTACTTCCTATAGCCTCCCTAGCATTTGTTCTTAGTTGATTTTTTGATGGTAGCCATTCTTTCTGGAGTGAAGTAGAATCTCAGCATTGTTTTAATTTGTATCTCTCAAATGACCAGTGATGCTGAACATTTTTTCAAGTATTTATTGGCTGTTTATACTTCTTCATCTGAGAGGTATCTATTCATTTCAGATGCCCATTTTTGGATTGGGTCTTTATTTGGGGGGTTTCTCATTTTTTGAGTATTCTAAATATTAGTCCTTTGCCTGATGAGTAGCTGGCAAAATTTTTTTCCCCATTGTGTAGGCTGTCTTTTCACTCTGTTGGTGGTTTCCTTTGAAACTTAAACTCTAGACAAAAGAGCCAACGAAGGAAAGATAGCCTATTTAATAAATGGTGTTGGAAAAACTGGATTTCAACCTGCCAAAGGTTAAAACTTGACCCATGCCTATTGTCAGGTAAAAGGCTGAAGACCAAGACCAGACCAGGCCACAACAAGCCTTTATTAGGGGAATAGATCTGCCGGGCGTCTCTGAACAAAGGAGAGACAAAAGCAATATGGCTGGGGCAGGGAGAGTCTTTTATAGAGACTGGGGTGGGGTTTGTAGGGACTGAGGTGGGGTTGAGTGAGGTAGTGACTAGGGAATGCAGGAGCCGGTGATGTCACTAGGTGGTAGGAGGTGAGCGTGTATTAGGTTACTTTCTAGGCGGGAACAGGGGCATGCTGGGAAGAAGGGTTTATTCTTTGGTGGGAGCAACCATCTTGGCATGATGTCACACAGGGGAGGGGGCAAGGCACAAGAGGAAGAGGGCAGCTACTATACATAATAGCTGCTGAGGTGGTAGGAGACCTATCACCTATCACTATGCACTAAATTAAGATCGAAGTGGATTAAAGATTTAAATATTAGGACAGAAACACTAAATTTGCTGGAAGATAAGTTAGGTAGAACTCTTGAAGATATTGGTATAGGAAAAGATTTTATGAACAAAACCTCAGTGGCACGGGAACTTGCACAAAGAATCAACAACTGGGATCTTATCTTATTAAAAAGCTTCTGGACTGCAAGAGAAACCACCAACAGAGGTGAGAGACAACCTACAATGTGGGAAAAAATTTTCAGCAACTGTACCTTAGACAAAGGACTACTATCTAGACTATATAAAGAACTGAAAAAAATCAGACCCCCCCCCCCCAATTCAAAGACCCAATTCAAAAATGGGCATCTGAAATGAACAGACATTTTTCAGACAAAGAAGTAAAAGCAGCAAATAAACATATGAAAAAATGTTTAACATCACTGGTCATTCGAGAGATGCAGATGAAAACAACACTACGATTTCACCTCACCCCAGAAAGAATGGCTGCATCAAGAAATCAACCAATAACAAATGCTGGCAGGGTTCTGGGGAGAAAGGAACCCTTCTCCATTGTTCGTGTGTAGACTTGTGCAACCACTTTTGAAATCAGTATGGAGATATCTCAAAGAACTAGGCTTAGAGGTCCCATTTGCCCCAGCTATGCCCCTTCTGGGTATCTTCCCAAAAGAATTAAAAGAATCTTACCACAGCAATATATGTGCACCCATGTTTATAGCTGCACAGTTCGTAATAGTGAAAGCTTGGAAACAGCCCAAATGCCCATCAACTGGAGACTGGATAAAGAAGATGTGGTTTTTTAATAAAATGGAGTATTACTCAGCCATAAAGAATGAAAAACTAGAGACATTTATAGCTAAATGGATGCATATTTAGGCCATCCTCTTAAGTGAAATAAATAGGACACATGTGTAAATACCGAATCGTTTCTCTATTGTGAGAAACTGAAAGTGTAATTAATGATACACACGGATGAATATGGCCTAATAACATATTTCTCGGATTGTGTTTCCATTGCATGTCATATGACTGTATTTGTTCATTGTTGGTTTTGAGGAGCTTTCTGAAACAAATCACATCCTCTGGGGTCTTGTTGGTGCTTGAGATGCTTTTTTAAGTTATATGGAAAAATGTTTAAGTGCTTTTCAGTTTTGTTTTGGTTGAGTTCTACTGTATTAGAATATTATTGTAGTTTTTTTCCCCTTGCGTTGTTCTTCTTTGAATGGCTTTAATTTTTTGTATATATGTGTGTTTGATAATAAAGTTATTTCTTTAAAAATATTTTTAAAAAAGAAACTTAAACTCTAAACATGCTTTGAACTGAAATTTTATTTCTTTTTTTCTAGCCATGGCCTGAAAAAGTTCTTTTCTTGTCGTGGAATTGCAATTGCAGTTGAGTATTTTTGGAAGCTTGGCAACAGAAACATCACTGTATTTGTCCCTCAGTGGAGAACAAGACGTGACCCCAATGTCACAGGTGAGCCTGGCTGCTTTCTCCAGATGTTTAATAATTGGCTTAAAATTGCAAAACGTGGTGCTCGGAATAGAGGCATGTACCATGGTCAGCGGCATTAACTACGGAGTGGTTAATAGTGGTAAATCTGTTCTGAATTCTGTAGAAACAGCTGAAGAGGGTGTCACAGTACCAAAGTTAGATAGGTGACAGTTGTTAGAAAGTTGTGTTAGAATTTATTAGACATCACAAAATTTTTTCTGACTTTCTAAAAATTAAAATGTTGCCTTCCCTCAGGCTGGGCTTCTGCTTTTGAAGTAGTATTTTTGAAAGTTCACATGTTAAGTTTGGCCCCTTCAAATATACTGTCTTTTCAGCAGCCTAATTAATAGCATAAACTGTTTCTGTTGGTCATAGAGAGCTTTGTGGCTGACCTGCAGGCCACGCACAAAAGATGTGAACTTACTGTCAGTCCTGAAATAGTCCAGACGCACTGGGCTGAGTGTGTTACATGTCATGCAGGAAGACAGGTGAAGACTGTGCGGGCAGCTCACACCTCAGTGCCCAGAGAGAAAAGGTAGATGGTAGGGGGCAAACTCAATCACTACCAAGGTTCCCAAAGTCTTGCCAGCGCCTTCATTTTGGAGAGCGTATTTGTCCTAACAGAAAGCACAGGAGTGGAGCAGATCTGCTCATTTCTGTAGCTGATTTTGCAGCTGGATCCCTGCACGAGTCTGCTTATGGTGCATACTGTGTGGTCTGGGATTTAACTTCTGCAGACGTTTCAGTTTGGGCCAGTAGCGGTGCCGCTGTAGTGCTCTTGCTTGTTAGTGGGTTTCTGAGATGTGCCTGTGACCCTCCATGCCCCTGTGTCACCACCAACCCTGTAAAAATAGTAAAGATTTGTATGAAGGAGTAGGAAAGTCGGGCTGGCAGCTGGAGGGAGACGGTGACGGGCTTCTGGGCTGTGAGCACTCGACCTCTCTTGGGACTGGCAGAGTGGCTTTCCTTTCACTGCATCTGTGGGTGCTCTCTCCTGTCCCTCGCCTGCCCTCTCTCCACAACTCTGTCACCCTCTCTTTGTCCACTACTGCTTGTACTATGGCTTTGGAAAAGTTCTCGATGACAGGATTCATTAAACATAGGTTTTAAGAAGCAATTGAGCTGAGCCTTTTTTGTTTAAAAAGATTGCCAATGTAAAGCCAGGTGTGGTGTCGCATGCCTGTAATCACTGCACTCAAGAGGCTGAAGCAGGATTATCACTGTGAGTTTTAGGCCAGTCTGGACTGCATAGGGAGACCCTGTCTCAAAACAAAACAAGACAAAAGTCAGTTCGTACATTGCATTTGCCTTAGTATCGGTCTTACTGGATTTTTTTCCCTTCCCAGTGAGTTAGTAAAATTGAGTCAGTAGAACAAAAGTTTACAACTCCCCAAGGCAGATATTCAGGTGTACTTGCAGAGAGCCTTTTTCTGAATGTGTGTATTCAACTTATTCCATGAACAGAACAGCACTTCCTAACCCAGCTCCAGGAGCTTGGAATATTATCTCTAACTCCTGCCCGGATGGTCTTTGGAGAAAGAATTGCTTCTCATGATGACAGGTATGAAAGGTTTTCCTTTCTAAAGTTGGGGTAGGTGGGAAGGGGTCCTTCCCCTGGGAGGTGCAGGCTGTCAAAAGGCTCGCCAACTCAGGGCTTGAGAATTTTCACAATTCCCTGTTATTAAGGTTATGTGCTTAACAGTCTTTGCTCTGTGGGTTTAGGAACATCACAAAAGAAGCTGTTGACTTAGAGGTTTTTTGTTTATCTGAGATAGGTATTTAGTTGTAACCTTTTTGGTGCATGTTGAAAGTTGTGCTTGTCTTGCCTTCACTTGGAACCTTGGAGTGGCTTTCACCTGGGTCCACTGGTACACACCTGACATCCCGGCTGTTCGGGAGGCTGAGCCCTGGAATGTGACAACAGTCAGGGCAAGACTGTCTTTTAGCACAAGGCCAAAGAAGAAGAAAGGAAGGGCGGGAAAGAAAAATGACTTTCAGTATCATCTCCCAGCCCTCGGTCTATTGTGCCAGGATGCCTGGGCTGTGGGATTTTTCTCCACACGGCGGAAGCCGTCTCTACTGACCTTCTGAGAGAAGGAAGCCAGTTCCTCCATTGGTAGATCACTCAGCAGGTGCCAGTGCATCTGAGACATTAAAATTGAGTACACATTTTTAAAATTTCTTCTCTAAAAACTTTCCTGAGCATTAACCACACTCTTAGGTTCTGGGGACACAGTTCTGCTATACCTCCTTCTCCAAGGGTGTGTCTAGGAGAGAAGGGACAACAGATAAGTAATGCAGTTCACCGTGGTGCACTTCAACACTTAGCTCCTTCCCCATCCTGATATATTTTGAGACAGTGTCTTACTATTCCCTACACTGGCCTCAAATTCATGATCCTCCTGCCTGAGCCTCCCAAGTAGCTAGGATTACAGGCATGTGCCATCACACCCAGTGAGAACCTTCCAACTTACCAGTGGCACATAGTTCTTAAAATGCTCCTCTCATGTGAAATAAGTAATAGCAAATAGAGAACGTGTTGGGAAGCTTAAGAGGCAGGTGCCTCAGAATAACTTTCCTCTCCTGCATTCTCCCCAGACCTGTTGAAGTTAGTATTAGCTTGTGACTCAAGCTAGTGAGTGCTCAATTGGTATGAAAAGAGCTGTGCCAGGAGAAGGTGACTTGGGACAACCGCAGACATTTGCTTACTATGTGGGCCCTCTCACCTATAGCCTGTCTAGGCTCTTTCGAATCGTCAGGACAAAATCCCTGATTTCAAGGAAGAGGTTCATTTTGGCTCAGTTTTGATCCATGGCTGGCTGGCTGGCTGCAAGGCAGGAACAGTATGAGGGAGTAAGGCCATGTGGGAGTAAAGGTGCATAGCCAGGAAGCAGAGAGGGACGAGTGGGACAGGAACACACCTTCCAGGTCCTGCCGTGACCCCCCTGGCTGGGCCTCGCTGACAGCACATTTGGATGCCACACTCATCAATAGATGCATCCGCCGACGAGCATCTCGCCCCGTGATCCAGTCCCCTTCCCCACACTGGAGGCCTTGGGGGACATTTTGTATCTGACCCTTGGCACAGCCTTTTGCCTGTGGAGGACCAGGTGATGTGGAGGAGAGGCGTGTGAAGAGCCAGGGGACAGCAAGCATGTGGGGCACATGGTGAGAAGGCTGTGTTCTTGCTAACCTGGGACAAGGGCAGGGCCCTGGAGTATTCACAGAGAAAGGCAGGCTGGGCACTGGGCTCAGACAGCCTTCAAGTCTTCTAACACTACAGCCTCGTCCTCAGACTGCAGGATTCATACGCAGGTGCAGATACACAGTGGCGGTTTTTGCTTGGCTGTCTGGGTTTGGAGGACTAGTTCATAGTACATGGACAGACTTGGAAGCCTTACTGCCTGAGAATCATTGCCACTTCACTCATGCCCATTACAAATAATTTGTAAATAAAATGCTTCTCAGAACTAACCATGTCTACTTTCCAAGGTTTCCTAAGACTTCTGAAGCAAGTAAAACATGGGGTTTTTTTGTTTTTTTGTTTTTTGTTTTGGTTTGTTGTTTTGTTTGTTGCTTAGTTTTTTGAAACAGGATCTTGCTGTGTGGGCCAGGCTGGATTTGAACTCAGTGTGTAGCCCAGGCTGGTCTTGAACTTGCTGTGGTCCTCCTGTCTCAGCCTCCCAAGTGCTGGGATTACAGGCTTACAGCACCACACGTGCTGAATTTTATTTTTTAATGTCCTTTAAGAACTCATTGCTACTATGGGCAGTTGTTTGCACCTTCATGATTTAGTTTGTGTCATTGTCTTTGTCTGCGTTGCCTCAGACGTATGAAGTCATCTTAATTTAAGATATAAAATCTGTATTATCCTCACAAATCTCTTACTAGGACAGTGTGAGCTGGAATAATCTCTGGCAGTTAAACAGAATGCTTCCTTATTTTTTTTTCATCTCCATGTGCCCTTTCATAACTTGCTTTTGCGTAAATCTGCCATTCAGGCTGAACAAAATACAGAATGATAGTTCTTGTCATCTCTTCTTAAATGAAAGCAGAAAATGAGTGTATGAACTTTAAAAATTGCAAGGCTGACTGTGCCAAGCAGCTAATCTAGAACCAAAATCCTGTAGCCTAGCAACAGGAAACTCAGTGGCAATTTCACTATCTGGCCTCCTGATTCATGTGCTGCTCCAGTCCTCATGCATTCTTATCACTGCTTATTGGTAATGTAACTTTTCTAGAAACATGTAAACATTATAATCGAAGTCATTTAAAAAATTAAGCTGTATAAAAAAAGTTGTTTATAGACCCTAATTTCATAAATATTCATCATTCCAGTTGTTCTTCAGTTGACAGAGACTTTAACTTTTCTACTCTCCAGGTTTGGTTAAATTCTTTGATGATTTTCCTCAGTAGAGGATGACCTTTTATTTGTTTATAACAGCTTCTCAAAGCCACGGATGTGTGTTTGCTCATTTTAAACTCTCTTGTATTACTATAGGTTTCTGCTACATTTAGCAGACAAAACTGGTGGCATAATTGTAACAAATGACAACTTCAGAGAATTTGTGACTGAGTCAGTCTCTTGGCGAGAAATTATTACAAAAAGGTAATATTTTCTACCTTGTCTTTGGTTAGAAAGCTTTTGTTCCTGTTGGTTTTGTTTGTGCTTTGCCTGTCTGTTGGGCCCTGGGCCCTGCCAAGGACAATGCTGTCCCCAACCTGCCTGTGGCTGGCCCCGCCAGGAGCTGAGACACACGCAGGGAGTCCATGTGTGACCTGCTGTGTGAGCCACACGTGTCTTCCAAGAGACCAGTGGCAGGCAAGTGCAGCCCCAACGGGCCTGCCGTGTTGTGCAAGATGTCGGCAGACCTTGTGCCTCCCTACTTTCTCGGCTGTGAAGTGAAAGGTTGGACCACACGACAGCTGAGATTTCACTTCTGACGTACACGGTTCCAGCAAGAGGACAGGACTGAAAGCAGTGTACTCATGGGGTTCCACTTCTTAGAGGATAGGAGAGATCATTTCTGCCTTTAGTGTCTGATGTTTGTCACGAGCTTTTGATAGTCTAGCATAATCACCTGTATTGCAAACGTGAAGAGTCGCTGTGCTACATTAAGTTTTTCATGCACGGTGACACTGAACACGTCCGACTGCTGGAAACTGCCTTTACATCAGTGAGCACTAGCTTGTAGGACTTCCCGTTAACAAGTGTCGCCTGACCAGTTATGCAGAATGAAAGCACGATCCGCTCTAGTGCCAGGCATGTCATTCATGCCACAGTCTTAAAACATGAAATGAAAACGCACAAGCCAAATACCGCTAGATGTCAACTAGCATGATGAGACGTGGGGTTTCACTTGCTCCTTGTCTGTTATTTAATTTTATTTTATTTTTTTTGGTACCAGGGATCGAACTCTGGTCCTTGCGCTTGTGCAGCAGGCGGCGAAACCACTGAGCTAAATCCCTGGCCCTGGTATTTAAATTTTGCTAAATCATTAGAGGATTTTCAAAAAGCTTTGCTATAACTGCCCAGATGAGGGTTAACTGGTACAGGCATTCGACCCATATGCAGTTAGAAAGCTTTGGGTTAAAAATAAAGCTGTGGCACCAAAAAAAAAAAAGCTGTGGGTGGCGGCTGAACCAAGGGTTGGTCTTTGACCCATGGCCACAGTTGATGAACAATTTGTCTTCACCACACGTTCCTGCTGGGCTCCCAGTCAGTGTTCATTAGGCCCTCATCTGTGCTTCTGTGGAGGCTTCAGATGTAGTGAGATGCAAACTAATCCATTCATCCAGAATTTGCATAAGTAAAGCAGAAACCAAGATGAAACAACAAACACAAGCACTAGCGCCCTCCCCCCACCCGGGGATTGAACCCAGGGTTTCACTTATGCTAGGCACAAGCTCTGCTATTGCACCCCAGCCCTGCCCCGTATTTGATAACTACTGCTCTACTGATGAGATCTTTCTCTCTTTCATATATCATATTGTTTTCTTTTATATATTTAATTTTTGTGTTTTTTTTGAGACGGCCTCACTGTGTAGTCCAGGCTGACCTCCAGCTCAATCCTCCTGCCTCAGCCTCCCATTCCTGAGATTATAGGCATGCCACCACCATGCCCTTGTTTTTCTTTTTGAAAAGGTTATTTGCAAATGTTTAAGTGCTTTTCAGTTTTGTTTTGGTTGAGTTCTACTGTATTTGAATATTATTGTAGTTTTTTTCCCCTTGCATTGTTCTTCTTTGAATGATTTTAATTTTTTGTGTGTTTGATAATAGTTATTTTAAAAATTTAAAAAAAAAAGGTTATTTGCAGTGGGTTTGCCTGTGGACACATTCCAGTTTTATTAAAGAATTAAGCTTTCATATATAGCACCTGTTATATCCTAAGCAGAAAGTCTTTAAATCTTGCTTGCCATATTCATATTAGAAAAAGCTGCTTCCCGGGCCAAGGGAAAAAAAATCTGAAGGTCTGATAAAAAATGTGGGGACAGCTGCTAAAAGTTTCTTGGACTAATTCTTTTGTGTCCAAAACAGAAATTAAAATGGTTTAATATGAATGTGGACTTTTCTCCCCTTAAGGCAATTAAGCGGTCTTAGAATTTATAGGCTGACCATGGCTTTGAGATTGGGTGACTACTTTGAGCTGTATTTTGGTTCCTGCAGCCATGAAGAGCTGGGTTTCTTCAGCTTTGTAATTTTTCTGTGTTGCAGATTGCTTCAGTACACCTTTGTGGGGGACATATTTATGGTTCCTGATGACCCTCTGGGAAGAAGTGGACCTCGATTAGAAGAATTTCTTCAGAAGGAAGTCTCTCTTAGGTATTTCTTCAGATTACCATGTATCTAAAAGTTTATTTCAGTCTAATGCTTTGTGCTTTGTACAAGTGTTACCTCTGCAAATTAAAAATTGCATTTTAATTCTTTTAAAGCCTTAGATTTAGTGAGAGTATGGCATATATGGAAGCCAATCAAGCAAGGAACTGAAAAGACCAAATAGTGAGTTTTCATCCTTTTTGTTTTAATCCTAGGAGAGGTAGGGACTTAAACTTTCTTTGAGCCCAAGGTTTTCTGAACTGGTGGTCATTTCCTAGTGAATGCTATTTAGGTTTGGTTTGTGTGGGTGAATGTCTTCATTCACTGTGTCATTTGTTGTATGTACGTTGTGCTTACATTAATTTATTTTCTATTCAGGAATCACTGCCTGGAGATCTGACAGCTACTTTCTACCATCACTGAATGGAGAAGCCAGTATTACCTATTTTTCTGAAATCTATTTGATAGTTTAGGACCTAAATCTAAACTTTAGGTTTTCTTTGTTGAAGTTTAGGTTATTTTGAGGGTTTTCTGTTTTTTGACCTTTTTGATACAGGGTCTCACTAGCCCAGCCTGGGCTTGAACTTGAAATCCTCCTGCCTCAGTCTCTCAGAATGCTGGAATTAAGAGGCATGTGCCATCACACCTGGCAGGTTTGTTGGTTTTTTAAGGAAAACAGTGATTGTCGAGTGCCAGTAGTTACTTCTGTTTTCAGAATTCTCTGGTAACAAACATTATTAATCATTTTTTTATGTGCCTTGCTGGCAGATCATATAACCTGTTGTGATGGCTGTAATCTAGTTCTGTGTATCTCCAGCAGTATTTGCATGGGGGTGCTCTGAGGGTCTAGGAAGAGAAAGGCACGTTGCTGTGCCAGGTTGTATTTTATTTTGTTCTGTTTTGGTGGTGTTTTTTTGGTGTGCTGCCTGTAGAATACACCCAGGACCTCACACATGCTAGGCGAGTGCTTTACCACTGAGCTGCAGCCCACCCCTTTCCCAGCTTTCAAGTCAGTGAAACGTTGCAATTGCTCTTTGCCCTTTGCATCACAAGCCTTTGGGGCTTTCGGTTTGGATTGGGTGGTGATTTTTCTTTTCTTTTTTTTTTTTCCCCACACAGAGGTGTCTTCTACAGAGACCACATAATTTGAGGTCTCTAATCTGGGGAATCATTTCTCTTGGAGCTTTTGAGTTTTAGTGCAAGGATCAGTACTTAATTTCCTGCAATACTCTTAGAATGTCAGTCCATCCCGTTTTTCCTTACCTAGAAAATCTTTCTTTGGGCTCTTGGCCCCGGGGGTGATCCTGCCCCACCTGCCCCTTCCTCTCACCCCATGGCTCTTTATAGAGGTGTTTGCTGATTAGGAAACTGGTACTCACTTCCTCCGCAGAGAGACCACACTTGAGTTAGCCAGGCTTTTGAAGTTGGGAAAGTGGCTCACTTAGCTCCATTTCTCAGCTGAATGCCAGAGTCATTGGGAATTTAAAAAGAACACAGTTCAGATGCCTTTGCTGTGCGTACATCTGCCCACACCCATGTTCGAACAAGTTGTGGGCACCAGCGTCTCAGCCATGCTTGCTGGGCTGTGGGGATCCAGAGGTCTGTGAGGGCTGCCTCTCTGCCCAAAGGATGAGTGGGTCCCTTTCCTAATTCCCTTCAGCCAGGCCCTACTTGAAATGAGAATCTCCAGGACAGTAGGACACCGTGGTTGGTGTATTCTAAAATCTCTCGTGCATCCCTGGGTTAGCACCAAAACAGGTGGAGAGGTGCGGTCAGACTGAGGGTAAGGTCAGCTTGTGAGGAGCTTGGTCCCTACTCTGCCAGGCCAGAGGTGTTGTCACTGGTCTCCCAGGCTCCTCTGTAGGAGCCTGTGTCCCTGCCGCACAGCAGTCTGGCCTCTTGGTTTTGGAAGCCAGGGAGCAGCCTCTGGAACCTCAGAGCCAGCAGCACATACTTTAGAAGGGTCTCTGTTTATCTTACACACAACTCACCAGGACTTACTTCATCCACAGAGACATGCAGCCCCTGCTTGGTGCCCTGCCAAATGTGGGCATGTTTGACCCCGGCTCCAGGGTCCCTGCCACCCAGCCAGCCAGCACCAGCCACCAGCCTCCAGCCCGGACCCAAGGAGCGCCCCCAGGCCATTGGCTCCCTCAGCAGCCCCGCTTCCCGCTCCTGCCCCTGCCTGCACAGAGGTCTCCTTCAGAAACCAGCGAGCTCAGGGAGGCCCTGCTGAAGATCTTCCCTGACTCCGAGCAGAGGCTGAAAATTGATCAGATCTTGGTGGCCCATCCATACATGAAAGACCTGAACGCGCTCTCCGCCATGGTGTTGGATTGAGGCTGCTGAGCTCCGGCCGACTTATCGCAGAGCTGAGGGGTTGTACACGATGGAAAGTTCTGATAGGAAGGAATTTCCCCGTGTAGACATCTTTGTATAGAGAAAAGAAAGATATGTATAAAAAAAAACCCTGAATTTTCAAAACCAGCTTTTTTCTATATATAAATTATGCTGCTATTACAGATTTAACATTTTCTGTAAGAGAATAGTATACATTTTCTGCCTGTTCAAAACTGTTTAATAGCAGTTATTCTTTAGCGTATTTACATTTTTATGTTTTTTAAAACTATTTTCCTTGAAGTGGATATTGAAAAATGGATATGGTTAGCCTTTCTAAATAAAAGAGTTGCTTTCTTAAGGAAAGCAGTAGCTCTTAAAGTATATTTTCTTGAGGTGAATATATCCTGTCCACTAACATGAAGTGTGCTCCCCTGCCTAGTTCCCCTGGATTGGGGTTGGTTTGCTCCTGTGGGATCTTTTGTTGGAGCCATTTGTGAGAGTGGACAAGTAGTGCCACTAGGTGGCACTTTGTGCCTAGCCATTGTTAATGACCAGGGCCAAGTTAGATTATCAGGGCTAGAAGTCTCCCAGCTCATGTAGTCCCTCTCCTTCCCTTTCCACCCCACGGGAGAGGAGCTGAGGCCCCGTATGCCCCTGCCTAGGTGTGCCCAGGGCTGCAGCGCGAGCAGCCAGCCAGGCAGGGCTGTACTTCTTGCTCAGTGCTTCTCACAGGTTGGGGCCTCCACACACCTGCCTAAAAGTCCCATCTTTGCCTCAGAAGACTGAAGCATGGTGTGAGGAATTTAGCATAAATCCCCGACCATGGGGAAATGCCTCAAGGTAGAGTTTGTACAGCTTTGCCAAAAAACTTTTCTATTCCCAAGATGACCCAAGCCAATAAATAGCATTAGCAGCTTCCATGGGGGCCCCAGTGACCTCTTTTTATTTTCTCGTGTTTGTCCCGTCAGTGTCATAAGCAGCTCTTCCCGAGTTTTTTGCACAACTAATTCTGTTAGTGGTATCTGTTTGCGGTGTTACTCCAGTTGTGTCAGTGAGGTTTTTTTCCTGGTGATTCCTGACATCCATACTCTCACCTGGGCCTTCAAAGGGCTTTCTGCTTCTATACCTATGCTCTCCCAGGGCTGCTCACAGTGATCTGGTGTCTGCCCTGTGGATCATGTCTCTCCTGGCCCTGAGGAGTAGCAGATGAGAGCTTGGTGCTGGTATGTCCTTCGTGGTGTAGGGCCTGGGTGGCATTCCAGAGTGCTCCCAGGGCATGTCCTGTTGGTTCTGTTTGACCCCTGCATCCCTAGGAAGATGAATCAGAGCCCTCCGTGTGGCCAGACTTGTGTTTCAGTCATGTTTTCTTCAGGTGCCTCGTTGTACATCCTAAAGTGGAAGTAGTTATCTGCTGTTGCTTCTGGCTAGGCTACCAGCATGGCTGGCTGTGGAAGTCAAGGCAGAGATTGGAGGCCAGGGAAGTGACTTGAGTCACAGCTGCTGTCTTAGGATGTGTCTGACTTCCTGGCTCAGGGCTCAGCCCAGGAGACAGACCCACCAGATTGCCCAGGTTGTACCTTCTCCAGTGCCAGCTGGAGCCACCAGGCAGAGGGCTCGTAGGTCTTCTAGGCTCTGGAAGCAGTTTGAACTTGACCTGAGTTCTGTGAGCTTTGTGTTCTTAGTATTGTTCTGAGATCTGCCTGTCGCTCCCCCTTTTTGGACATGGGAGGAAGAGTAAGTGGGAAGAGTACAGAGAAGCATTAATTACTTTATAAATTACAGTGTGAAGCATAATTCACAGTTCTTTCTGAAATCCATCATGTTTACTTTAATATTTAAAAACCCAGTTATCAAACCATTGAAGATGACTCACAACCTGTTCTCAGCCATGCTGCTGCTGGTAAGCATTGGAGATGGTCCTACCTCCAATCCCCCATGCTCCTGGCCTATGTAGCCCCTGCCGCCTCCTGCCTCCTCTGTGCCACGTGGCTCTGCCTCCTGTGTTGACACATTTGTGTGAGGGGCTTTAGGGGCAGAAGGTTTCTTTGTCCTGAGGCCCCAGGCCGCCATCTCCAGGAGTAAAAAGGACCTATTTGGTCTGTTGGAGTCCCTGTTAGAGACCCAGTAGGCCAGCAGCCAGGAGAGCAGAGCAGCGGGCATTGTTGCCCTCCTGGCCGATGGTTGGCATGGTCAGGCAGCCTTTCTGTGTTGCCCGGGATGGAGTCAGATACGTGGGCTTGCTGTGTGCATGGAGAGCCAGACTCTCCACACTGCCCTCGGCCCTTCCTGCCACACAGGCGGTGGCTCCCTGTAGACCTCAGCTGCCCGACTCCGCCTCTCATCAGTGCTTCCGGTCCTCCTTCCAGGGTGCCTGAGCCCCTCTCCTTACATCTCCTAATTGTAATTTATTTATTTATCAGTAACTGCCCACCTCCATTTCTGCATGATCTACCTCTCCATTACCCCCTACTTATTTCTGATTTTTTTTTTAACAGTACAGGGGGTTGAACCTAGGGCCTACACACTGAGCTACATCCCCAACCCTTTAAAAAAATTTTTTAAAATAATTTTGAGACAAATTCTCACTAAGTTGCCAAGTTACCCAAGCTAGGCTCAAATGTGAGCTCCTACTGCTTCAGCTTCCCAGAGTGCTAGGATTACAGATATGCCTAGGAAAAGTCACCAGGGATTACTTGATTACTAACTTTTCTCAGTCCTTAATATTAGTGTACACAGTAGGCAATGACAGCATTGGACTCCATTGACCTTATTTTCCCCATTTTTTTCCCCTTCTAGAATTTCTTCACTCCTTTTCCTCTTTTTACCTAAAGGCCAGTCCTTAACACCCTCTCTTTCTCAGTAGTTGGTTCTCAAACTATGGGCCACCTGTGGAAATCAGGATGGAGATGGCAACTCTTGTTGAAGATGCAGATTATTGGGTTCTCCACAGAGGTGTGGACTCAGAAGCTTGGGGGGAAGCCCTTTAGCACATACCCATCCTGGTGGCCCTGGACCACACTTTGAGAAATGGTGGCCACCACTCTTCCCTGACCAACTGCTGTCTTTTATTTGCAGTGTCCTCTTGTCCAGTCATAGCCCAGTGGAACCCATGAATTCCCCAGTCCCTTGGCCAGCTCTGCACCCCTCCCTCCCCACTCCATGCACCCCACATCCTGTCACCCTGTGTTCGAGCACCGGCCCACCCCTGCACTCTCCCACAGCGCTCAGGTGGGTCTTCCAGAAACCCCACTTCTCCCATGATCTTCACTGGCTCCTGTTCACACTCTAGCCTTGTGTCCCTGGCTGTCCACCTCCTTGAGTACCACTGTGTACCCCCTCCCCAGATGCCCACTGAGCCACACAGCTTTCCTCTGTCACCTCCTCTTCCCTTCTCAGAGCCCCAGCCCAGTCCCCTCTGTGCCCCTACCTAGTGCTGACCAGAAGCAGCTTCGTGGTATTGTGTGGCCCCGTGGCACTTTGTCTCGCTTCCTGCGCTTGCTGCGTGGCAGTGTCACTGCAGCTAATCTGTGTTGTTTTACCTCCCTCTAGACTGTGAGCTCCTCTCGGGCAGGGACCGTCTGTGTCACTCTATTTCCCATGCACCTAGCACAGTGCCTTGCACTTGACAGGTGCTCAATAAATGTTTGCTCAAGTGAACTGGAGCATGGTGCCTCCTTAGCGCCATTCGTTCTTGACGGTAGCATCAGCAGGACTGGGACAACCTTCAGAAACCTAGTCTGCCAAGGCCCAGAGCCCACTGCCTGCTGGGGCAGACCTGGTGTGGCAAGGGCTGGCTTCCTGTTCACTCTCATCTCTTCTGGGTTCCAGCACGCACCATCCTGGGCAGACCGGTCATCCTGGGCAGCTGGGCCAGCTACTCCAGCCAGTCATCCCTTGGGTTTGCCCTTCGGTGGGGAGCTTTGGGGTACCTGCCAAATTTGCTAGAGGTCATTTTCTGCCATGAGGAAAGCTGGGCTTTGGTAGAGCAAACCTGGCCGTGTGAGTTCCCGGGTCCCAGTGTCAGGAATGCCCTTTCTCAGATGTCACTGTGTCCGGTATTCTAGTGTGCATCCTCTGTTTATATTTTGGAGACAAGGTCTCACCACATCTCAGAACTGACTGAATTGAAATCCCCCAGCCTCAGTCTCCTGAGTGCTAGGATTACAGGCATGTACCTGTGCTCCCAGCCCTGCATGTTCCCCTTTTGGCTAAAGCTAGTTCAAGCTGGACCTACTTCCTCTGAGTAAAACACATGTCACTGTCCTCAGCAAGGACCTGCAGGTTGAGGCTGAAGTTGGGCTGATGTTTAGACAGGTCTCAAAGCTTGTGCAGCTGGCATGAGAGGCAGCCATTTCTAAGTGCCCTGGCTGGGCATCCACTTCCTCTTCAGACTATGCCTTAAATTCTCTTCTGTGAAGTTGTACGTTCACTTTCCCAGCTGGGCAGAGACCAGCCGAGCCCAGCTAGAGTTTGACCTTCCTTTGTGTTTCAGTTTTCCTTCCTGTAAAATGGGCATGATAAAATTCTTCTGAGGTGCTGTAAGGACCAAGCGTGTTGGTACCCCCAAGACACCTCTAATCAAGCCCGATCGAGCCTGTCAGTGTGTTGTCCTCTGTCTTTGCTGGCCCCCAGGACACTGGGATCAGGGCACCTGGATTAGTATCTGCATCTTTGTCAGAGCTTCCACAGGGGAGCGGGAGGGCTGGGTGGTGCCTGAGAGGCCACGGAGACCTCTCAGTCCAGAACAAAGGGCCATGGGTGCGGTGGCAGGATGCTGGCATAGCTCCAGCTTGTTCAGTCCTCTCCACTAGGCCCTGGAGTGGGGCTGTCATCTCCTTTCTGTCAGGGAGGAAATAGGTGCAGAGGGGCTCAGGAGCTTGGCGTTCTCAAGGCCACCATGCCCGTGGCTTGAATTCCCAGCATGCCCCTCTACCCCCGTAGGTGACTTGGACAGCCAGGATGGTGCCTTAGGATACCGCCCCTGCTCCACCCTGCTAGAATGGAGAAGCAGACGGATGGACAGCTGGGAGAGGGAGGCAGTGGGAAGAACCGGCTCAACCTTCCTGGACAGGGGCCCTGGGCTGTCCCTGTTCTTGAGGCAGGTTCCCGCAGAGCCCCTGTCTGGAGGGAGCCTGTGCAGGCACCACAGCTGCCTCTGCTGCGCTCAGGGGGCCCTTACTGTGGCCTCTGCTGGGCTCTGAAAGCTGAAAGCAGCCTTTTATCCCTCAGCCCGAGTCCAGTCCTCTTGACCCCTATGATGCCGGGGCTGGGGAAGCAGAGGCTGGGCAGGCAGGACTCTGCCTGGGGACAGGACAAAAGGCCCATAGCCAGTGCTGGCGAAAGCCTGAGGGGCACTGAGCCAGCTCCTCCCACCTCCTGCAGCCCCAAGAGTCACAGGACTGCAAAATGCAGACTGCAGATGTGGGGCTTTCCCTACCACCCCAGCCCTGCCCCAGGTCCCCAGGGAATGCTGCTTGGCCACACAGCCTGAAACCCAGTCTGGGGTCAGGCCTGGGCAGGCCCTGCCCTCCCCCTCCTATGCCCAGCAGCGGAGGAGGACGCCTGTGAAAAGAATGTGCTGTCTGCCGCCTGTCTGGCTCCTGATCAGTCTAAGGTTTCAGCCACCAAAAAAGGCAGCAGGAAGGAGAGGCCTAATGGGCTGGCCCTGAGGAGCCGGGCCTGCTTTGCTCAGGGACTTCCCGGTACCAGCGGGTCCTTCAGCCCCACAAGGGCTGTGCACCCCTGAGAAGGCTGAGCACCAGTGCCTATTCCTTGTGTGTGACTGGGGAAACTGAGGCCCGGCTATAAGTGGAGGGAGGGTGGGAGCACTGAGCATCCAGTTCCCTGGGTGCTTCTGCTTCCTTCACCACCTGTTCAGAAGCCATCCTTGAATGCCGTGCTGGGAAAGGAGGCATCCAGAGCGGCCCTCTTTCTTGGGACCCCTGGGTAACTGGGTCCTGCTCTGACCTCTGGTGCTGTGGGGCTTCTGGAGGCTGCAGTGTCATCTGCTGAGGGAACTGTGCAGCTCACAGGGGCAGTCAGGTGGTCACCCAGAGGAGGGCTTTTCCAATATCAGAACCTGGCCACATGCCATCCCGTGGGGTCCAGCCCAAGCCTCTGATGTCTGTTTCCCATCAGTTCCCACTGACCCCCTCTTGTCCTTGAGGTTGAGGCCCACCATCCCACTAAGCAGCTAGAACTAAACCCTCAGCAAAGGCCGGGCCCCAGGAACGTTTCCCCACACTGCATTCCATCACCAGGAGGGCACCACGGGCCTAGGCCTGGCATTCCTTGGACACGGAGCTCCACAGGGGTCGCCAGGCCTCGTCTGACCTGTGGTGGACACAGTGAAGAACCCTGCTGCTCCTTTCCTCAGCACCAGTCTGGGCTGGGCTGGGCACTTCTGTTTCTCCCCAACCCCTAGCCCAGCTGTTTGTCCTCACTGCTTGGCGGAAGTGGGCATAGTGACATCGAGGGACAATTCTAAAGAGGGAGGGGAGCAGCTAGTACCCACTGAGCATAAGAGCTTCTCCACACCAAACTGGCACCCTCGCACTGCCCACCATGCCCACCACAGACTCAAGCACTGACCCACAGGCACCAAGGGCTGGGAGCTCGGGGTGGGGCAGGCGAGAAGGGTGGTGGAGGCTGTTGAACACGGGTGGCTTCCCGTGCACAGAGGCCCTGCTGGCCTGGGAGTTCGTGACCATCAGTAGGTGAGGGAGGAGTCACATTGATCTCATTCCCACATCTCTTTTGTCCTCTGCCTCCCCGGAAGTCGTGGCCATTCCTTCTCCTCGGGGTGTTTTCCAGGTGTCCACTGCCACCAGATTGATCCCCCAGGCCAGGACCAGCCAGAGCATCTCGACTTGGGAGAGGCAGACACCCTTGACCACCAAAATGGCCTCCAGAAGTGACTGGCTGTCCCACACATCCCTGTCCCCAGGCTTGGATCTATTTGCTGCCCTCAGGGTTATCAAAATGAATATCCCCACAGGTCCACCCTGTGAGGCTTGGCAGCCCCATGCTTCTGTTACCAGTGACTACCATGAGAGTCTACACAATGGGCCTGGGGACCAGCCCAACATGAATGGTTGGAGGACATGAGTCTGGACCCTGTTCTCTCCCACGGCTGCTTTCCAGACTGAAGATCCAGGCCCCACCTGGGTGGCCCCCACGTGGAGCCCCGTCTCAGCCAGAGCTGCTGTTTTTCTCATTTGAATTAGCCTCCATAGGAGCCCAGGGGGCCAGGCAGGAATGGTTAAACCCCTTAGGAAAGCTGAGGCAGATCCAAGGCCTGAATCCAAGTCCTCACCCTGATCAGCAGCTCTGCCCCTCCATTGCCTGGCTCAGGAAATCCCCAGCAAGCGTCCCTTTATTCACTCAAGTCAGCAGGTCTCTGTCCATCTCTCTGCAGACCAAGTGTCTCGTGGGATGCGCCCCGTGGGAGACAGGAAGGAGGTCAGAGAGGAAGGGTGATGGGGAAAGAGGCCACGCTGGGGAGCCTGTGAGGAACTCGAGTCCTGAGGCTGGACAGGGTAGGGATAGAACTTGGCTTTCCCGCAAAAATGTGTCTGCCTGCTTCCTCAGCATGGGGGCAAGGCCAGTGGGGTATGAGCCCTCCCCAGAGCCTGTGTTTCTGCACTTGCAGAGCTGTGCAAGAGTTCAGGAGGGCAGCCTGGTGTCCAGCCAGCCCTGCTCTATGCCTGTGTTGTACTGAGGGGGTGCCAAGACAGGTACCAGTCCTCTGAGGTGCCTATCACTAATCTGTGGTGACCGAAGCCCTCTGAAACACAAACTACAGGCTGCCTGCACCTCTGGGCTCCACCTGGCTCTCCACCGTGGTCACAGCCCAGCCTGGCAGCAGGAAAATGCATCTGGTTCCTCTCTGGGAAAAAAAGTAAGCTTTTTTGTAGGCTTTTTTGTTCCTAATCATGACTTAATATACAATGTCTACTTTAGAGTGTCCCTTAACAACGGCTTCAGTTTCCCCGTCTGTACTCTTGGTCACCCTGCTTGGCAAGATGAGCTTATATCTGGTAAATCCTACATAATCAAGTGGGGTTATTTCCCTTTTTCTTCTGTCAGTTTTTGAAATGTAATTGAAGAATACACAAAACCAGGTATGGTGGTGCACACCTATAATTCCAGCACTCTGGAGGCTGAGTTTGAAGTCAGCCTGGACTCTGTCTCGAAAATAAATAGATGTTTTAAAAGGGCTGAGGATGTAGCTCAGTGTGAAGACCCTTGGGCTCAATCCCTAGTACTGCAAAAGAAAAAAAAAAAGTTCACAAATACAGTGTGCTGAGTGTTCACAAGCCCAACATTCTGTCACCCACACAGCATTGTGGAGTTTCCCTCCTATCCTCAGCCCTCACCTTCACCAAGGGAAAGCATAGCCATGACATCGGACAGGCCTCAAGAGGCTTCCTTCACCTTGCTCCATGCAGGGCAGACTAGGATGCATTTTTAAAGGTAGACGGATGTGAAGAGAGGCCAAGGCCTGCAGCCCCCATGCCAGATGCCTGTTCCCTGGCCTGGCCAAAGAGAGAGAAGTCCTGTCCACAGCCTTTGCCGTGCTCAGAACCCCTGGGCATGGCTAGGACGGCACCAGCACCCCTGGCTTTGACCTCCCCACCCCAGGGACCTAGGGGACCTCCCC